TGAAGTATTGCAAAGAAAAGACTGAAAAACACTGCACAAGTTAACGCCACTCCAAACAACGCCAACCACAAAAACAGCAATCACTTCCGCCCACTTCTTTCGTTGACAATAGTCGATATTCAACAGTTACGACGAGTATTCTTCAAACTGTTCACAACAACATTAATGAATAATCGATGGTGAACAATTGTTTAAAATATCCACTCGCTGAGGCAACATGAATGAACACGTGAAAAACCAAAAATGATACTTCAAAAAACGAATCATCGTCCGAGGTATCGAAGATGACCATGTGAGATCGGCATTTGTACAGTTAACAGTTTATTTGCGTGCCAGTGACTTTCTGTGATTGCGTTTCGAGCGCAGCGACGATACTTCGAACACCTTTAAGTGCGGCCCGCAACCCCTTACCAACACTTCCTCTAAACGAATCGAATATTTTTCCATCATCACTCTCTGAAACAACAGCTCACTGAGCAATATGATATTTCCAAAATTGAATATTTCCACAGAACAATTTTCAATGTTTCCGCATTCTTGGAAATAACACAATAACATATGAATTTCGGTAAACGAATTTCTTTCATACAGTGCTACTCATTCTCGAAAGAGTGCAGAATCAGATGGAAGAATTGCAGATAAAAGAAATATTAGTTTAGTAATCAGATAACGGTTTGAAAAAAACAAAAAAAAGTGAATACACGGAGCAGTTTTGAGAAAATTGCAACANTCGCGTTTTCACTTTACGCTCAATGCATTTTCGATGAATATTATATGCGGATGACATAAACAAATCATTTGAAATAATTCATAATTTCAAGCAAAACTAACTCTTATGGATCGACTTATCTCTGATAACTCCAACCACCTATTTGAACTTCCATCCTGAGTTGCAGCAGCTGCTAATCCATCAGAACGAACAGCCTAAAACAATGCGTAGTAACTTTTAGATAGACTTTTGTTCTGAAATGATCACGACAGCTATTCGTCTGAATGAACTGAGACTGAGGTTACTCTTCGTCAAGATCTTATTCAGCCTTATGTGCATTCTATGACTGCAAACAGTCGCGATTATAAACCAAAAGAAAGGAACTAAGGACATTAAAATAAGCAAGACTTAATAACACCGAAAATGCATTTCCGATGAAAGTGGCGGTATGCGGACGACACATCAACATCATCAATCAGTGTCAACTGAGAATTTAAACTAATCCTTACGGATGATGATGCAGCTTCCTCTAACATCTTCGGTGCTTCCTTTGACTTGTCTCCCGTGATCGCTTTAACAATTTCTTCGGCTGTTGGAGGTAATCCACCGATATAAAAATTCTGAAACAGTGTATGTCATAACGTCCAGATATGTTCTCCCTTGTCCAAAACAATCATTCAAATTGTCCGTTTAAATGAACTATTATTGAAGCTTCTCTCTACGATCACTCCAACCTTGAGAGTTTGAATGCAAAACAATTACAAACAACGTACCACAAGTGAATGCGGAACCAATATGAGAACACTGCCGTATGGTTCCTGAAAATGATGAAAGACAACTAACGATATTCTCTAAACATACCATAATTCAATAACTAACTAAACTCACTGCCACATCGCGCGTTCTCACTACACTTGCAGCTCTCTTGCTTATGAAAAGTTACTGTAAGAGTATGAAATGCAAAGCACAGTTCGCCAATGCCTTCATATTTTCAACTGATCGCTTATAACTAGGCTTGCCTTTAATAGCACTCTCAAGTTGGTGCTCTATCGGTTATTCTTCATAAAGCAAACTTAACAAAGAATTTTTCAGAAAGAATGTTCACAAAAAATTTTTCAAACAAAACATTTAAACGAAACACAACGGAAAATTCAACGTCCAACTCAGCTCACCTCATTGGCCGTAAAATAAAAATAACAATCCAGTTCCATCTGCGATATGGTGTCATCTAAAACAATTGAATATTTACTCCAGATCAAGAGAAGCAAAATTTTTGGGAAGTTTCGGCTGGCAATAGCAAATTTTTTAAAGATGCTCAACACTGATTAGTAAATTATCTGGATAAGACGTTATCATTTTCCATTGAAAACTGAAATTCCGTTTCTTGAACCTACTCGATAGGCATTTAGGGCAAATATCCGCGATTTCATGCGAAAAGTCTGTCTTGCTCCAAAGCTGGCATACACCTAACGGTGGTAACGTCGTCCACAGTTTGCACACACCACACTCCAGCGCAAAGACTGGCGCAACGCCTGTCTTTGGGTAAGTCAAACGTGCGTTCCACCTCAAATGAATGATGAACAATTCGAATATTATTTCTGACATAAACAAATGATTACTGAATTGGATATCAGCGATTAAGAAAATTATTGCATAAATCAGTCAATCATTACTGTAGTGAACGGCCAATTGACAAGGGTACTGGAACGGCACTGGGCACTTGCATATCAACGTCAGCACTCTCTCCAGCTTCAGTATCGGCTTGCACAGATCCAGTCGATGATTCCTGATTACAATAAGTGCTATAAACCAACAAATCTTCACCAACAGTCGCGATCGCCATCGAAACGATCTTACTTGAGAGTATTTGGTCAGCAGTTTTTCTTTCGCCAGGTAAATAAATGTGTATCGCAACGCCACAACATATGAACAGACCAATGCAGATACATCACTTTTTTTCCAACCAGGATGAAAATTTCCTACATCTATTCCACTCACTGCCAACTTCTCAAAAAATACATCTCAAATACCACAAAATTACCTCAATTCTTTCGTCATCTTTCTGATCTGCACACATATAACGATATAAATTGAGAGCATCGATAAACCACTCTGCCGATATCTTCTCATTCGCATTCAAACCTTCAAGTTTTTTTTNTGCACAAAGATGACTGACTCTCAAGCAGTGTTGTAAACGAAGAATAACTTCTTGAATAGGGTGATGAGTGCTGTGTTAAGAATATTGTGAAAAACGAGTGGAAATAATTCGTTACATTACTTCAACAGAGAATGCTCTATAAACAATGATTTGCATTTTTTATACTCATCAATTTAATGCATTATCAATGCCACTTCTCAACAAACATCCATCCCACTTCCAATTTCGCATACAATCAGCAAACAACTTGATCAATATCTTCTGCATTATAAAAGAAATTGATGCAATCAGCTCGCAAGAATGCTACAACTAAACGAATACACAATTACCGAGAGCGAGCAGCAGCTAAATTCACTCGAATTTAAAACAAATAATTTTCGACGAAACTCACCGCAATATTCGGATAAAAGTGCCATCATAACGTCCATATTCTCCAAAGCCGACGACCACGCATCTTCTTGCTCTTTACTCTCAACTTGCCTTCTTCGTGTCACACGTTTCTTTTCAGTTCTTTTTTCAGCTAATGCTAACGTGTTCCTGGCGAATAAGTCGAATTCTACAGCAATTGAATTGACAAATTCTTCTTCAATAGCTGAGTCAAGTTCCTTCAAAATTTCTCCGAATTCATCACTTGACTCTTGAACTTGTTGAGTTTGCTCTCCTGATCGTTCAATTTGATGAGATTCCTCTCCTGATCGTTGAATTTGATGAGGTTCCTCTCCTGATTGTTGAATTTCTTGAGTTTTATCTTGTGAGTGTTGAATTGGTTGAGATTCATCTCCTGATTGTTGAACTTGTAGAGTGTTATCCCTTGATTGGTGAATTTGATGAGTTCTATCTTGTGACTGTTGAATTGGTTGAGATTCACCTCTTGATTGTTGAGATCCATACGTTATTCGTTCACGTTCGTCTGCTTCTTGTTCAACTTCCTAAGTTACACAAACAATTTACTAACGTAAGTTAACCAAAGTATTGAAACGATTAATGCGCTATATTTGTGAACAAACATTAACAAATAGAGAGCCGTAAACAATGCCAAACATAAATGTGAAGTTAAGAGACTATTTTTTAAAAAGGCTTCACAGAAATATAAAAGAAGAAATCAAATCAAATCAAATCAACATATAACAAATCATGTCAATTCAGATTTCAGATAGAAACTTAAAAGACGAACTTCAGTATTAAAAGCCATCAAAAAACAGTTATCTCCTAACCATTCCATGTGTTTGTTGCTGAATTGTCTGATGTTCATCTCTCGGTTGTTCAGCATTGTTCACTTCTGCCATCAACTGATCAGCATCTGTTTCCTCCGTCCTTCGATGAATCAAAATTTCCGTGACAACCTCGTTGACAGCATCTGATACCTTAATGAGCAACGTTCAATCATTACGAATAATATGACGAAACGAGTGAACAAACGCGATCATTTGAGAGTGCCACCCTTCGAAATCACGCAAAACCTTGATCAATTTTAATCAAATTCTAGCATATGAGAAAATTGTCTGTCTGATCAGACACACAGACGACAATCCCTTTTGTTTCATTTTGGGTTAGCTCAATCGCTGAAACTTGCTCAAAACAAAGAAGTATGGCCTGACAATCACTTACATATGGTGTTGGATTAAGAAGTGCTTCAGCATCACGAGGGCTTCCGTTGTCCGCAAAAAAATTGCCAATTCGGCTGAAATGGCAACTGTAATTTGCGATGGCCATTGCAATTCACTCACTTTGAGCATTTTAAGTGATCATTTTCTCAATTTTTAAAATTAAAAGTATCGATATATACATGAGATATGTCAACACAACAAGCATTTGTCAATGA